ACATATCTCCAATTCCAAAAACTTTGCATTTCTTTTCATTAGCCATGGACACAATACCATTATCAATCTCTTGATAGTTTGAAAAAAGGTTTTTAAATGGTGACATATGAAAGGTGCAACCAGAATCAACTAGCCAATCAGATTCACACAGATAATCCGATAGCACAGAGTTCAAATAAGCATAATCTTTGATCATTAACACATCACCAAAGTTGTTTGATTCACTAGCCATATTAGAATGATCTTTTTGCTGAATTTTTTTAGGCTTAGAACAACTATTACTGAGGTGACCATATTCATTGCAGTTGTAGCATTTTCTTGTTTTAGACTTGGATCTAGACTTACCCCTTCTCTGGTTGAATCTTTTCACATTTGAGTTATCATTGTTAGCATGTTTATGGTTTTGAAACTTATTCAAAGTTCTACCCCTCACATGCATAACCTCCCCAGAATTTTTATCACTCTTAGAATTTTTCAACTCTAATTCCTTACTCTTGAGACCATTCACAACAACATCAAGAGAAATATTATCCCTACCATATTTAATTGCAGATTTTACATCACTATAGGAATCGGGAATAGCATTCAAAAGAGCAATAGGGGTGTAGTCGTCAATATGTTTATCACTGGTTAATTTAATATCAGAAATCAGTTTGGTGAAAACATCTAGATTTTCTTCTATGTCTTTAGACATATCCAATCTAAACTTGAAAAATTTTTCAAGTAAGAAAATCTTGTTTGGCAAAGAAGTTTCATTATAAAGTTCATCAAGTTTATTCCAAAGATCTTTAGCACATTCCAAAATACCAACTTTTCTGATCACACAGTCAGTTAAGTTTAAGTAAATTATGGAACAAGCAATTTCATTCATTTCAACTTTTTTCTCTTAGTGTCTGTTTCTAGATATGAATCACTAACAGCCCTATAAACTTTTTGATAAACAAGAACACACTTCAATTTTTGTTTCCAAATACTAAAATCAGTTTTTTCATTAAAAGGAGTCAAAGTATACTAATTCATAGTAGACATATCCACAAAGGAGAAAAAATAATCAAAAAATCACCACAAAAGAGAAAAAAACTCACAAAAGAGAATAAAAACTGAAAAATCAGCAACACAGAGGCACGTAGAATCTGGCCTAAATTTTCCAAATTTGGCTCACGTGTGTGAAGCAATCGCACGAACAACCCGAGATTATTATGTTAGCAAAATTGCTTACTCAATCTCGTTTGTTCTTTCACACGAGCACAAACTATAGTGGAATTAGGCAATCGGAAATAATGCATCGGAATTAAACAACCCTAAAAAATTGCTACGAAAGCAAAGGGATAAAGAGTTGTGTACCTGAGTAAATCTAATGCCTAGATTCGATTTACCTACTCCAAGGAGAAATTAAATTAAGAGCTCTGGCAGCGTACTTCTCGTGCGTGCGCTTGTGCTGTTGCGGATCTTCTCTTGCTCCAACCAATCCTTCGAGCCGCACGAAGCAGCAGACGTCTACTGGAATCGTCGATTGTAGACTTCCTCCAACCGCACGAAGCAAATTGGTGCAATTCTCCCACCCCTCTGGTTTTTTTCTCGCCGGAGAACAAGGCTCACTGGCAGAGGGACACAAATAGTCCGAAGGAGAAGAAAGGACCAGAGCAGAAACGGAGATTCCCAAAAAAAGAAAGGACCCACTTTTTTTAATTAAAGAGATGAAAAGGAAAGGTCATGCACAAAGTTTGACCCAAAGGAAAGAAAAAAAAGTGATGGGTTTTAAAAAAACAAACACTAAAAGTGGGTAAGGACAGCAGATCCGAAAAAGAAAGAGAGTTGAAGCCCCCACGAAAATAAATAAATATTGAACACAAACCAGGCTCCGATACCACTGTTATGAGTATTTATTTATTTCGATTAGGCTCAGGTCACCCGTAAAAATCGGTCCGTAGTTGTGCACTACAAGGGTACCAAAAGGAGCAACACCCCAACCCAACCTTGCCACACTCCACTCACAAAGAAACGGAGAAGAACTCAGATGAACACACAGAGGAAGAGAAATATCACACAAAGAACTCACAAAGAGAAAGGGACGGATGTTTTGCACAGTGAAGAAACACAAAGGCAATCCCTCAATATATAGTGGAGATTAGGGTGGTAATTAAGGCAAGCTTAATTAGGTTAAGGAGTAAAGGTTGGGCTTGAATAAATGGGCTGCTGGGTTGGGTGTCAAATATTATTAATATGTTTGGGCCAACCCCAAATAAATTAACACCGACAAAGGATGGTAGCTCCTTACCATTCGTCAATAAGAGACTACCATCACAGTAAAATCTGGAATTCAAATAAGGCTCTAACGATACCAAGGTACCGCGAGGCAGTACCGAGGTATTGTACCAGTCCTATTCCGTCTCTTTTTTATTCTTTGTTGTTCCAATCAAGTCCTAGATTGATTCCGAGACCTTTTGTGTTGCTTGACGATAAGTGGAATATATTTGTACATGACACTAGGATGCTCTTTGTATTATATGATGATTATTTAATTATTGTTGTCCTTTTATTATATTTTAAATATAATCTCAATATGCTTTGTAAGAATATAATTAATGGACTGTGATTATATTGTTGATGGTATGAACCTAAATACCAAGAGATGTTGTAAATGAATGATTAGGCTATCTGAAGGAACTCTAGGACTATCTTTTGAGAATTGAGATTGTAAAATTCACGATATGTTGTAGAGTCTTGGGGACTTAATGTCCAGTGGTATTCCAGTAAAGATATACGTTCATGGAATCAGGGATTTGATCCGTAGGATTGAAGGTTTCACCCAACCGGCTCAGTAGGTAGTAGGACCAAAATCATGGCTGTAGGTAGTGATTGTGATGTCATAGAATAAACTTGAGACATGGCCAAAGGTAGTGGCTCTAAGTCATAAGATAAAATTGTGCACAATGAAAAATTGGTCTTAACCTAGAATAAGTCATGAGAAAGTGTTAGAGATGAGCTATCGTAAGAACTTGAATGTTGAGTTGATAACTTATGCAGTTGAAGAGCCAAGGTAAATAACATGGTGTGTGAATCATTGATATTATTGATATCAGTTGATGTTGTATATGATATTACTTATGCAAGAAATCCTATGAATGACTATGTATGTAGAAATAACCCTAGGTGTGACTTATCTTGTTAAAACCTCTCACTCAGCGTGAAAGCTGAGTGTGTAATTTATTTTACTTGCTACACGTAGGCAATATGAATGATGAATATAGAGCCAATCCTGGAGTGCAGCGAGGATGAGAAGATGGATGGATGCCGGCTGAAGAGTTTACTTGATTAAATATATCATTTGAATTCATTATGTTTTTCGGGAAAGAGAACATAATTGTCTTTTGATTTAAGTACGTAAGCTTCTACACCGTTTTAAATTACTCAAATTAATACTTTAATAATGTTTTGAATTAATTGTTTTAAACTGTTTTGAAAATATGATGTGTTTGGATACCAAACTAGTGACAAATTGATCTGCTGATTTGTGTATTCGGGTTACGCGGGTCGGGGTGTTACACAGTCCCTCCATCATACCAACTTGCTTTGTTATCTTTTCATCTTCTTTTTCCTAAACATGATGTTGGATACCCTCCAATTTTATAAAGTGAACTTCCAAAACTTCTTCTGCTTTTCCATTAATAATGTCTTATTTTTGTTTGTTTTAGTTCTTTTTAAATAATATTTTTGTTCTATTTTTTGATTGTTTTTGATCATTTTTATAAATAGTTATATAAAAATAAATAAATAAAATAAGTTCAAATTTAATAAAAAGAGGAGAGCTAGAAACAAAAATCCTAATGTTAAAAACAAGAATAAAAAGTACAATAAAACACTACCAAATAATATTTTTCTATTTTCTATCTTTTTGTTAAGCTTCTTCACATTCAACATTTGGTTTGCAGTATAAGACAGACAAAAAAGTAACTAAAAAGAATACTTGTAAATAGGTTGTCGAACCTTAGGGGGACCCGAGTTCATTTAATTTAAATGAAATCTTTCTAGATAAGAGTAAAAAAATACGAAAATATCAAAATATGAATTTCAAGTCTTTTATATCTAAATTAGAGGTATAATGCCAGTGTGATGTAAGAGTGTTGGTAGTGTGATGGAAAAATGATGACAGTATGATATGAGAGTGTGATCTATCAATCGTCAGTCAACGTCGGAGATCAGTGGCGACACTCTAGTGGCCGGCAGTGATCGAAGAGTGAAAGTGTGGCATTGATTGTGGCTGGTGCAGTGTGACAATGTTGTGAGTGTGAAAAGACTTAGAACTCTTATTTTGGTGTTTTCAGCGTTTTTTACTCTTATCCAAATAGTTCTTCCTTAATGTATACGCAAGTTTATTATACAAGTTGTAACTTGTAAAATATTTTTTATCTTTTTGATTTGGAAGATAAAATAAAAGTGTAAAAAGAATAAATTTCAAACAACACAAAAGAGATTTGATTTGATGAAAGATTAGGGGTAGAAATTGATAAATTAATTATCCAATATTTTTATAAAAGTTAGAATGTAAATTTGTTTTTATATAGAATGTGTGGAGTTGCAGAAAAAATATTTCGAGATGGTCTCGCAATTCACCTAAATAATAACTACTCTCACTTTAACATGCTAATAATAAATCTAGAGTAATTATTTAGTTAAAACGTCAAGCATAATAATTTTATTGGATAAATATCCAATTTTATGGTGTAAAAATACAACTCAATGATTATATCCACTTGGAGGTCTTCAGTCATGGTTAAAGATAAAGAAGATTATATTTAAAAAGTGTTATATTTTATGATTATATCAACATTAGCATATTTTTTTTTAACAATTATGTTTAGGATTCGGCCCTTGAATATTAATCACAGATATTCAAGATTAATTTATTTTTAAATACAATTCCTAAATAGAAATAAAATTAACAAACCATATTAGAAATAATAAAAATATTAAGAGAGACAATTAATTGAACCTACTTTTAACCCCAAATAGGTTTAAAGTTCATGATTCAAAGCTTAAATAAATAAAAATTTATTACTAATGGATTCTAAGGATGTGGATAGTACCAATAATGGAGAGAAAAAAATTGTAGTATCTATTTGAGAACTCGGAATTCGATCCCCCCCTCATTGGACAGGGGGTCCTATTTATACAATATGGCCATGGGCTGGCATTCAACTACTCTAAGTCAATGAGGCCTATGTACCTTCCTATGATGTCTTTGGTTTCTGATCACTGAGTTCGCACGGCCCTCTAGAAGTTGACTTCTTAGCCCGACATAGTACGTTGAGGGGGCCACGAGGAGCCGAGTGTGATGCATGAGCATGGTGCTTTCATCTATCTCCTTTTTAGCCGAGAGGGCATTTTGGACCGAGTGTGGTCTTCCTAAAATATTATACGATCCGGACGAGCTTGGTTCCACAGGCCTAGGGGGCCGAGCCCTAGAGCCCGTGTCTCCATCAATTACAATCATAAAAATCTTACAAGTATTACAATCATAGATATCTTACAAGTATTTTACAAGTTATTTTAAATCTCAATATATTTAGAATTTTAAAATATCCACACAAATCTAATGATTTTAAATATTTTATGGATTTTGAAAGTGCAATTTTGTGTGTGTGTGTGTGTCTATATATATATATATATATATATATATATATATATATATATATATATATATATATCATTTTTTTAAAGGAACTTTATTGAGATAAAGAGAGTTACAACCATTGTTCTGAGAGGAAACCGAAATACAAAAGAGGTCTAAAAATTAGAATGAAGCTGATGTCTTGTTCCTTTCCGCTAGAATTTATCAATCTCCCAATCGTCAAAGTCTTCGACATGAATCAACCACTTCTTTTGCCGGTGAGTCCATGCCCAGGCTTGAATGAGCTTGCGTATTTGGTGGATAGTTCCGTGTGGATTCATTTTTATCCCATTATATGTATATGCATTACGCGCCTTCCATAGATTCCATGAGATGAAACCCGGGAGTATAATTCTCAAGGCACCATTGAAACTTTTCAAATTACCTCTTACCCACCATGAGATTGCATGTTGGTGGAGCAGCAGGTTTGAGGTGTGCATGGAGCATCAACTAGATGTGCAAAAAAGTTCCATACTTTTTTGCTCTCGGTGCAGTTCACGAGGCAGTGATCCAAGCTTTCCTCGTTGTTGAGGTAGAAGCTGCAACGACTAGGTAGTGCCAGGTTGAATCTTCTAAGGTTGTTGGGGAAAGGAAGACAGTTGTTGAAGATCTTCCATTGGAAGAAACGCAGTTTAGGGATTTGTACTTTGTGCCAAATAAATTTGGTTGAGAGGAGTACCGGGAGTTTCTCTTCAGTGGCATTAAAAGCAAGTTTGAGGGAGAACTGTCCATTATCCCAAAGTACTTGTCCATTGTTCCAATGCATATGAGTTGTACCAAGAGAGTGTACTCTACAAATTCTCTTCCAAGTTGGGGAATCTGGGAGGCGTTCCTTGATGTTACCATTTTTCATGTACTTTGCTCTAACAAGTTTAGCCCATAGACCTTGATCGTGCTGGGCTTTCCACCAAAGTTTGAGAGAGTATGTTGTCTCAATGTGAAGAAGGTCCCTGATCCCTAGGCCACCTGCATTCTTGTTTTGACATGTGAAGTTCCAGTTCCTCCAGTGGTATTATATATATATATATATATATATATATATATATATATTAATGCTTCATCTGTCCATTTTAAATCGTTGACTTTTCAAAGTCTTTAATGCAATACTTTGACTATCAATACACACACACACACACACACTAGTATTTAACCCGTGCAACGCACGGGTCGAACGAATGTTATTTTGAACTTCGTTAAATTTTTTGTTTTAGTAAATGATTAAAAAATATAGCTAAATATAAAATACAATGTTAGAAACTTAATGAATGATATGACATAAATAGAGTATGCTAACTAAAATTAATGTATATAAAAATTAAAAAGAACGTATAAATGTATTAATTACATCCAAATTTTTTGAAAAACATCATGATGAACCATATTTTTTGTGCAATTGCAAGGGTTACCGTTTTCATCTAAAACTTTCAATCCTTTCCTAGTTTCCACTCGTGAAACTGCAACATAACATTGACCGCGAGTGAATACCGATTTGGTCAAGAATAATCCAACAAATGATAATGTTTGGTCTTGACTCTTATTGGTCGTCATTCCAAAACATAAAGATATTGAAAATTGTCTTCTTTGAAACTTCAACGGCAATCCAGGATCTGACGGTACCAAATTCATTCGTGGTATGTAAGCTTTCTCCCCGACATTGTTTCATGATACGACAATTGCACCGATAACATTTCTTCGCAACTCTCCAACTATTAACCTTATACCATTACACAACTCTTCAACTCTTAATAATTCTGGGGTTTGCAATCCCAGAACATTTGATATCGTTCAAAAACTCAGTCGTTATCCAATCACCATCTATTTCTACATCTGAATCTGTTTGACATGAAGAATGAGAGCTCAAATACTCTTTTTCATCTCCAGGAATAAGACATAAAACAAAATCATTGATCATTTCAACAACTTTAGGCGTGGGTGATAATAAAGCTCTATCCATAAAAAATACTTCGTATAATCTTTCATATTTTCCAATAAATCTGAATACGTGAATTCTACTATACTCTGAAGTGGAGAACTTGAGTTTAGGATCAAGGATTGAGATGGAATTTCAATTTCAATAATTCCATCATTAACCTCGCCAAGCTGCCCATCTCATATCTTGATTATCAACTCAGAAAAAAGTCGTGTCACTATTAGCGTGGTAGGATGAAGATAAATCCAATATCATATTTTTAATCAATGTAAATACTTTACAATATGACCACAAACTCGATAGAAAAAATTGATCATAAAAAATTGATTTCATTATGTTTTCTTAACTCGTGCCGTGCACGGGGCCGAATCAAAGATGGTGATGAATCGTTGGAATTCTGCAATTAAGGCACCAGGTAGGCTAAAATGATTCGTCCCTTACTGGTTAGAAATTAACTCAAGGCAAAACAACATTATATTGAAGGCTAAAGTAGTCAAATAGAATAACTCAAGCCTAAACATTCATTCACACCTTAAAAGGGAGGCTTTCGTATTTCTATATCCATATTATCCATTATTAAAAAAAAAGACGTTAAAAGTTTATCCACTCACGATTGAGATCCAAATAGAGCAACACTAAAAATTCAATTTGTTTAAAATTAAATTACAGCGGAAGAAATCAAAAGAGAAGATGAACACAATCCAAAACTTCATCCATTTCAAGGTTGTCTTTAATTAGTTAATAGAAAGGGGGTATGTAAAGATTTGAGAAAATAAAAATGAATCAAAAAGAAGTTTCAAATTAATACCCGTTGAAAATTTTCAAATTCTGCTACTTCGTAGCTTTCAATATGTGGTCTTTCCCTTTTGCCGCTTCGTTTTATATATATAGTTGTAGAAATTTCAAGCAATTTTGACTCCAACCTCACCACCTTTTCCTATATTTCTATGAGTAAAAAGAAAAACAAACTTGAATTATTGTATGAATAATAAATGTTGAAATTAAGGAAGAATACACAAAGAGATTTTAAAATTGCATTTGATTGAGTTCATGGAACAAACCAATTTCAAATGAATCTTCTCCAGATTTGGCAAATCGAGTTCCCAATTGTTCAAGAATTATGAAATATAAAACTTACCAATTTGTGAAAAAAGAATTACCTTAGCTTTCAACGATTCAGAATGAAAGGAAACACCCGCAAATTTTGGGATGGTCTGAATAAAATCGTTGAAATCCCGAGGTAGTGATGTGCCGAAAAATCATATTTGGGGTAGAGTAATGAATATTTTTCATTTTTATATGTGTGAGGCGTTGCAGAAAATCAACATTAAATCATGCTCTAAAATATTTTCTTAATTTCAAGATCATGAATAACTTGTCAAAAAAGTGACACATATTGGAGTTTGAATTTTATATATAAAGGAAAGGATATAGGATTCCATTGAGTACATTATATATGTCTTTCATAGTTTCACACACTTACGTATCACCCGCTAGTTCATATCTTAAAAGAGTAGTAAGAAAGTACTATGTCCCTGAATACTTTTCCAGTTTTGATTTTTTCAGTCAATTGTTTTCAACAAAATATTTGATATAATAAATCTAATGAAGCTATTTTTGTATCAATATCTAATATCATTTTTATTTAATTTGAGAACATGATCCGGTAGTCTGAATCAAAAGTTCTCAAATAAATGTTAATTGTAGTCTGAATCCTAAGTGCTGAAATAAATTTTAAAGGCAAACAAAGTATAGAATACAATAAGATAGATGAAATCCTTCACTCTAAACTTTATATATTGATTGATGACAGTTACATCAGCTAGGGTAGGTTTGTTCGAGCATCTATTTCCTTTGGCCTTTAAAATAAAACTACAGAGAATTTTAATAACCCACCTGAAAAACAAAGGTGAATGTCAAAATTTTGTAGGGCAATCAAATAGATATTTTTTTGTGTGGGACCAAATAATTTGACAAAATACTAATAATAACATAGCTTGCAGTAGATACTTGGTTCATTGATACAGATTTTCAAATTATTATTTTCACGCACATAGGAGATGGTAAACACTATAAGAAATGACATTGAACCCCCCAAGAAATGAAAAAAGAAGTAGAAAGAGCCTATTGCACACCACTCCATATCATTGTTAGGCCTTTTAATAGTTTTTCATTGGCCAATTTATATTTTTATATTATTTTAATTATTAAAAAATAAATAATTTTATTTCTATATTAATATTAGGGGTAAAGTCTACATATACATACTCTCCCTCCCCACGCCCTGTAACTATTTCTTCCTGAAATCAACATTAAAGTATTTGGACTTTTGACCCTCCAATTTGTTTACACTTGTCATAGTTTTGAATATAGTGAATACGCCAGTGCATGAAAAAAAACCAAAGATTTATCCTTATTTAATCTAAACACACTCTCTAGAACTTGATTATCAAAGTGCAGGGCTAACAGTAAAAAGGGAATAACCAACTTTTAGGCCGGACATTATTCTCTATAATTGAGAATCTGTTGAAGGAATTTGTAAATTAATGTGTTGTTGTGTAGATAGAATTTACTTCATATTGTGTAATACAGTTGTACTCGCCCGTGGGCCTTCTCTTGTAAAACCTTACGAAGCTCTTCCCTATATAAAGGAGCTATTATCAATAAAGAAAGACACATCTCCCACAACACGTTATCAGCACGCTCAAACCCTAATTTTTTCTCGTCTGCCTCTCCGGTTTTTTTTCCGCCGTTCTCCACTGTGCATCACTTGGAAAAAAGGTCGCCGGCTCGCCGCCACTACACAGCCCCACCCTATTGTTCTACCACACATACTCCTATCAGAATTACACTTTAGCCTAAATTTCTATACGATTGTTGTCATCCATGATTAATGATTATGGACCATATATTGCTTGGATTTTTTTTTACAAATGGTTCGTCCAATTGAACTCAAATATGTCATTTTAGACTCCAAACTAATCGAGTCCTGTGACTAGTACATATTGGTTTTGATTAAGAAATTTCGTATATAACAAAAAGGAGAGAGCATGAATTATATGATAAAAACTCCCATTTTCAAGATATCAATTTACTTATGATGGTTTATTTGCATTTTATCTAGAAATGAGTGATCCAGCTAGATCTGAATTTGACATCTTGGACTCAGAAGGACTTGAGTACCATCGATGGGTTTCTGATGTAGAAATGGCTTTTGTGGCTAAAGACTTCTCTACCACACTTAAAGACCCCAGTGAATTGAAAGATGCACCATCTGAAAAAGAGAAAGCCAATGCTTTAATGTTCCTAAGGAGACACATTGACCTAAGTTTACATTGGGAATATCTTAAGTTGAAAACCCCCAAATAACTGTGGGATGCCCTTAAGGGACGTTTTGGGAACATTCATGATACTCTGCTTCCAGAACTGAATGCGCAATGAAATGACTTTGTCAAAGATATGTTGCGTCTTAAGGCACGTCTCATCTTTTGTGGTAAGCCAATCACCAAAGATGACATGATTCAAAAGAGTCTTGACACATTTCCTACCTCATCCATGATACTAGCGAACCAGTACAGGATTGAGTATGAAAACAAAAGAATTACCACATACTACAAGTTGATGAATATGCTGCAATCAGCAGAAAAGCATAATGAAGTCCTTGTCAATAGCAATGCTCGGCCTATCAGGACAAAGAAAATTCCTGAAGCCAATTATGGGAAAATAAAACATGGAAGGCATCCCAATGAAAAGGGACCTGGACGTGCTAATCCTTACCCACGTGGAAATAACTCTAATCGTGGGAAGGGTCGTGGCGGTCGTGGTAGAGGTCGTGGAGTATCTTCCAATGTTTGGTGAAGAGAGTCAAATGATGGACCGAGTGGCCACACAAACAAGAAGTCAAATGCATCCAAGATAAAGAATGAGCCGTGTTACCGATGTGGAGTTAGCGGACACTAGTACAAGCATTGTCGCGCTAGTAATAAAGTTGTAGCCTCCTACAAGAAATATCTCCAATCTAGAGAGCATGAATCTCAATATTTGGACGCAGAAGGCAATGAAGTTGATGCCAACCTTACCCTTTCACACTTTACGAACAAGGGGGATAATGTGCACTCAATGGATGCACCTGATTTTGATTGATACACTTTCTTCATTCTCTCCATGCATGATGTTTTGGAATAATTTCTTTTATGTTTCTGCCAATTTCCTAAGAGTGTTTTGAAGACTATTTATTGCGTTTTTAGACTATGTGGAATTGTTTTAAATTTGCATTCAATTTAAATAAATTAAGGGATTTATGCCCCTATTTTATATATATATTGTCTATTTCAGTTCTATATGCAATTCTCTCATTACACAAGCATGAATCGAGGTGAACTTGAGTGCTTAATAGATAGTGTGACTACCCATACCATCTTGCAAAATAGGCAACTATTTGTTAACTTAGTAGCCTATAATTCATCTGTGACAACAATGATTGGTTCATCACATGTAATTCAAGGACGCAGTACTGCCATTTTCTTACTCCCTAATGGTACATTGATTAAAGCCATAAATGCTCTATATGCACCTAGAGCTACTCGAACCTTGTTAAATTTCAAAGACATGCATCTTAGAGAAATTTAAGGGTAAGAGTAGTGGCTTGTATATCACTACAATTCGAATAATTGAATTTTATTCTATAAGTCATGATGACATAAGGGATACTGAACGATATAGACTTTGGCATGCGTAGGATCGTTTTCTGGAACTTCCCAGTGGGTCACCCATCCTGGGACTACTCCCGTTCCAGCTCGCTTAACTACAGAGTTCTGAAGTTAAAGAGGTGCCAAATGCTTCCTAAAACCAATTGGTGATAGGAAGGTGGACATTTTGTATTTAACCACATCTCTCTGTAGCCCCAAACCGAGGTAGATTCCTATAGGGCACCCCCTATAGTTCACTACGGCAGTGCGGAGCCCCACTACTGAGCGGTGGATGGACAGGAGGGGCTTCGCAAGATACACGACTCGTGTACCTCGTCAGGTTGGGCTGTCAGTACCCGATACCGTGACTAGCATAGTAGCGAATCCCTAAGGGTGATCGATGGTCCACCATAAGACCAATAATCTCCCCCCAGCGACACCCGGGGGATTCGAGCCTGCTTCCTCGCTCCGATACCACTTGTAGGATCGTTTTCTGAAACTTCCCAGTGGGTCACCCATCCTGGGACTACTCCCGTTCCAGCTCGCTTAACTACAGAGTTCTGAAGTTAAAGAGGTGCCAAATGCTTCCTAAAACCAATTGGTGATAGGGAGGTGGACACTTTGTATTTAACCACATCTCTCTGTAGCCCCAAGCCGAGGTAGATTCCTATAGGGCACCCCCTATAGTTCACTACGGCAGTGCGGAGCCCCAAGCCGAGGTAGATTCCACAGTGCGGATTCCTATAGACAAATGTGCAACTCTAGAGGGGGTGAATAGAGTTGTTTTCAAGAATGTGCGTTTTTCGCGTAAAAAAAAATTATCGCAGGAATAAGTAAAGAGAGTAAGGGAAAGAAGAACACCGGGATTTATACTGGTTCACCACCTCGTGGCTAGTCCAGTCCTCCGAGAGACTCTCTCGAAAGTCCTACTAATCTTCAAGCTTCAACGGGTGCTTGAAAAACCAGTACAACTTGAGAACTTGAATCACACAAGCCTCACTTTCTTACAACAACAAGACTTGAGTCACACAAGTCTTTTGAACAACACTCAAATGAGATTGAGTTTACAACACAAGAATGAATGCTCACACAATTGAGCAAAGTAGTGTTTGAAAGATTTAAGCTCTATGGATGACAACTTCTATAACACTCAAAGAAAAAATATTTCTAACTCTCAAAAATAATATTTTGATGAGGAAGATGAAGCAAAGGATGAATAGCTCAAAGAAATATATTGGAGTGCAAGAGGTGTGTGTTG